AAAAGCAATAAAAAAAATTATCCTTGGTGAGGATTAACAACAACAAAAAGTACAAATGCCCATGTGAATCTCCAATTATCTCAAAAGGAAATGTTTTAAAATCTAAATTAATCAATAAAAACAATACATATGTGTAAACCCCGCTCCAGATCTATCCCATGGTAACCCTGGCAGAGACGTAACTCTTAGCTGAATGGGCCCGAGGGTTGGTCTGGCTTGGCATTTCTTATCCATAAATATAACTCAGAAACTAAGCAGGGAGAACCAGGACAGGGAGTGCTCTCCCTGCCGTTCTAGAATCCAATAATAATCTGGTACCATTCAATGTTACTGTATCAATTTCATGAGAAGTCCCAAGGCCCCCAGTGGTGCTGAGAAATCTTTTTGCAACCATCTCCATCTGCCAAGCCACAAGAATAACCCGGCTTTGGGATTCTTGGCACTAGCCACCCTTACCTTTTGGTCTTCTATGTATTCAATATCGGCTGTGTTGTAACCATCCCGCTGGCCCTGATTGAGGACCCTGAAGCGCCTCTTGCCTACGCTGTCAATCACCGAACGGCCATCGGCAAAGAACTGAAGATTCCTGATCTCCAGGATGCAGCCATATTCTGCAAACCTGCTTATTGGAAATAAAGTCAAGAAATTTAAATCTTCACGAGTTGTTTCCCTGGCCTTGCCAAGCTATTTCTATAACACCATGCTATGCCTCGAGAGACTTCTGCCTGTTCACCAGTCCCAAGGTCTACAGCTATAGCTATACAACAGGCAGTGCATGTGTGAAAAAAATCTTGATGTATTACTATAACTGCTACCATTTATTGAGCACATACTATGTGCTAGATACTGTGCTCAGTGCTTTGTGTGCATTAACTCATCAGTCCTCCCAACAAACCCAATGATGTAGGCATTCTTATTGTACCTACTTTACAGATAAGGAAACTGAGTCACAGAAAGGTTAAGGAACTTGCCCAAAGTCAAACTTGTTCCAAAGCTGAAGCCAGAATGTGTCAGGCAGTTTGACTCCAGGGCCCAAACTCAAAAGAAGTTTTATAGTATACACCACCCATTTAACAAAAGAGTAATCCTGGGGTTCCTTTAAATAGGCAGCCTCTCACATGCTAAACTAGGGGCTAGAGACACCCTGATCCTTATAAATGCTTACGGTTACGACCTGGCTAAGTCTCATGAGCTGTGCCTCCCAACCTCCTGGGAAAGCCCCAAGGTAAAACAAAAACCTTCTCCACCCACCTTCCTTGACTAGCACAGCTCCTCACTTACCCTTTGACGGGATCTCCAAGGCACATGCCAAACTGTCTTGTGCCTGTCTCAATGCACCTTCGAATCATCAGACGGTAACAAGGCTCAAATATGTGCAGGGGACAAGGAACGGTGGGATAAGCCATAGTACATACAAAAATAGGCACGTTCTTATTTAAGCTGTCAGGAAGAAGAAATGACACGGTTCTCAGTGCAACGGAGCACAACACAGAAAGGCTGGTCAGACATCACCATGTGGTCCCCCTCCCCACCAGGAAGGCAAGGAGACATCAAGTTTTGATGGCTGATAAAAAATTACTGAAATGCAAGTGATGCTGTGGACTAAGTCCCACAGTGGAGCTAGCCTAAGGGCTCCAAGGTGAAACAGACATTGTACGCAATCTAATTTGGCTAAAGTGTTCTAGTACATTAACATGTTAGGTGACAATTATGTTTCATATTTTTTTCTTTCTTTCATTCTCTCCACTCAGACAATCTCTCTCGGTGTCTTGCTGGCAGTATGGGGAAGGGTACTCGTGGTGTAAGTGGATCCAGATCTCCAGAGGAATGGTGGGAAATTCTCTGCAGTCACCATGAGCATCTCAAGTTTGCAAAGCCCCTAAAAGTCCTGCATGGCAGGTCCAGCTGGGAGGAGGAGGGAGCAAGGGAGAGGCAAGAGTAATTTAGCCTAGTGATGCTCAAATACACCTGTGCATCAGAATCACCGGGGGCCCTTCAATCCAGACAAGCAGGCTGCAGCACCTCAGAGACCTTGGTGTACTAGCTCTGAAGTCAGGACCCAGGAGTCTGCCCTTCAACAAAGGCCCATGAAGATTCACACAGTTTGAGTGGGTACCAACAACTGGGCCAGCTCCTCCTGGATCCCTGTTCTCTTATGTGTCTAGTAAATCCAATACAGGAACAGCTGAACCTATCAATAGATATAAGGCCATTTGCCCCAAATCGCCAAAGGATTAAGTTTAGGATGCTTTAAAATAGAAACCCTTCTAGTATATTCCAGTTTTTGTTAATAAGACATTAAATAATATTTGAGATGAGGGCTCAGAGAGATTGAAGACAAACTTAAGAATCAGAAATAAAGAGAAAGCCCTGGCCAGTGTGACTCAGTGGTTAGAGTGTCGGTCTGTAGATCAAAGGGTCACGGGTTCAATTCCCAGTCAAGGGCACATACCTCAGTTTCAGGTTTGATCACCAGCCCTGGCCGGGGTATATGTGGAAGGCAACCCATCAGTGTGTCTCCCTCATGTCGATGTTTCTCTCCCTCCCCCTTCCTCTTTCTTTAAAAAAAAATCAATGGAAAAAATATCCTCTGGTGAGGAGTTAAAAAAAAAGAGAGAGAGAAAAAAGGAAAAAGACAAAAGTGCCCTGAGTAGATCTAATATAAGTCAATGAGGAAAAAAAGGATTTCATTTCTAGCTTCCCAGGAAAAACATGTTCAAAGTGAGAGGGATATTCAGACAAGCTGGTGGCAGTTTAGAAATGGTTCCCTACAGGGCAGGCATAAAACCAGGACAGCTTTTGCCATCAGGAACCTCGCTCCCAGAAAGCTGTGAGGATCCCACTGGGGATGAGACCGGAGGGCAGCAATGTGAGAGGCAGAAATTAGTGATCACCTTCTGCTTTGTCCGCTAAGTGAGCTGTTCTTCCAGCCAGGCAGAGAGCCTAGAGCCCTACTTGCACCCCCATCCCTACCTTTCACCTCTCACAACACCTGTGCATGGCAGGGGAAGCAGCACTCTTCCTATTACTGTTTATTAAGTGCTTACTAGCCACTAGCTCATTTGATCTTCACAAGTCCATGAGGTAAGGACGACTATCATCCCCAAACTACAGATGAGGAAACTAAGGGCCAGAGAGGTGAAGTGGCTTGCCTAGAGTCATGAAGCACATTCACTTTGTGGCAAAACTGGGTCATAAGCACAGGTCCGGCCAACACCAAAGTTCTTAACCTCATAGCAACTCCTTATGTATTTGAAAACAGCATTCTGGACACTTGAGCTACTCCAACCTACTCCAGGCCAGTGACACCCAGTTACTAGTGCCTAGATCTGACCTGGTCAGTGGTTTGGCTTAAGCTTCTTCAGCAGTGTGCTGAAAAACTGACTTGCTTGGGCAGGGCGGAGGGGGGATTCCCTGGTTTACGGCATTTGCCAGTTTCCATGGTGTAAATACTCTCACCATGGCCAATTCCAAGCTACCGACATGATATCACTGAACAAGGAGTTAGGAAGAAATGTGCACATTCAGCTCTATGAGCTGGTATGAGTGAAACTGAAAACAGAAACATGCATATACATACTTAGAAAGTTCTTCCATTTCTTCTTCATAAAGCCTCCTTCGTTCTTTGAATTCTTCTGGAAGGAATTTAGCTATTAGTTCTTCCATTATGATATTTTTGCTGTACTTTTTTGATGCCAAGCACTATATGAGGAATGAGGCAATTAGATGTTATGCAGTCATCAGAAAAACACAAAGCACTTCTTATGCAACCAGCAGAACAGTCAAATGACCCACATAGTGGAGTAATTTGGGCCCACACATTAGCAGCTGATACTATCATAATGTATGTATTCTCTGGATGTTCGAGTTTTTTTAAAAAACAGACAACAGTCTGGTGATTACCAGAGGGGAAGAGGGGTTGGGCGCAGGTAGAAGAGGGTAAAGGGGGGATAAATGGTGACACAAGGAGACTTGACTTTGGGTGGTGAACACAATACAATATACAGATAGTGTATTACAGAATTATACATTGAAACATATAATTTTATTAATCAATGTCACCCCAATAAATTCAGTAAAAATGGAAAACACATGCAGTTGATTATTCTTACAATTAGAAAAAATATTCTAACAAGGGGAAAAGTCCTGTATTTATGTTTTTAAAATCTCATTGTTTTCCCAGAACACTGAAATCGAGACCATGGTCTTGTCCAAGAAGGAGAGAAATCCTTCCCTGTCCCTTTTCTGATTATCGTGTTTACAAGTTCACAGAAACGGTCTCCATCTGGGACATGCTGAGTGTCCATGGTCAAAAGGTTCAGGGAACTAAAAAGTAATTTTCAATCGTTTATCTTTTCCTGCCCTGCCCCAACCTCACCCCATCCCAATATTTGGCTTCTGGATATTTCAAGTGCAAGTATTTTTTTCTTCTCTTAGAAAAAAAACAGCTAAATCTGGGTGATTTTGTTCGTCTATTTGCTATTTTAATATACCATTTAGTTATCACTGAAATTATGTTATAAACCATGACTTCAGAACTGAACTCAGGCTCAGTTGTCACTATTACTCTCCTCCCAAACACCTCCACCCCATGCATATCCAGGCATCTGTAAGTAGGGGGCATTAAACTGTGTGGACCAGGCAATAAGGCATCTGTGGAGAATTGCTCACTATGGAAGCTACCCACATGGGCCCAGCAGGGGGAGCTCCTGAGTATAAAATTGCTACCTTCAGACAGTTTTTCCTTTCCCAGTATGGGGCTATGTCTGTCTATTCTGCAGTGAATATGATTGGAATAAGATATTTATCTCTCTGGGAAAAGGTGTAAGTGTGACCCTGTGTGAAAACAAAGACATCGATAAGAGTGTCTTCTAGCCTGTAAGCTGGGACCCCACAGCACCTGCCTCCAGGATGCCTTATCACCCTCCGCACTGCAGGAGAACCAACTGCTTTGCCCAGTCCCAGTCTTGGGAAAAAGCAATGGCTCAGGAGGTAGTCAATCCAAGAAGGAGGTGACTCCTCTGCTGACGCTCAAACAAAAACCCAGGAAAGGCACATACTAAACCACTAGCGGTGGTTTTCTCCAGGGAATGAGCATAATGATAGACTTTTGTTTTTTCTGTTTATCTGAGTGTTGCAGTGTTACCATAACACAAATATATTATTGAAATATAAAGGATCATGGGCTTCTTGCCTACAATCAGGCCAGCAAATCCCACCCCTTTACCTAGGCAAGGTATGATGCTGACCCCCCCCCCC